TATATTAATTTTTTCTCCCAAAGTTGTGCTAGGTCTTATTTTCAGGGGATGTCTTATCTTTTCATGCGCTAGGTCTTATTTTCGGAGGATGTCTTATTTTCGGGGAAACACGGTAGTATATTACTGAATAAGTCAGCATATTAAATGGTGAGATCATGATCTTGTCAATATTTTAAAACTTTACTGATTTTATTGATTATATATTCTTCATAGACATAGTATTTAGTTTGACAAGTAATAGAACTCCAGTCCTATATAATAAAAGCCTAATAGGCAAATTGACTGAATGTCGGAACAACTGGACGCTATGACATGCACTGATCACCAGGGGGCAGACATTAAATTCTGGAGCTGTGTCCTGCTGATCAGTGCGCTTCCACAGGAGAAGAGCCACTCAGCCAGAAGCCGGGCTCACGGCTGGTGAGTGCAGTGGTGGTGGAGGGAGCCTCTCTTGCCTCCATGGCTACACTAAGGATGTCTGACCATCGGACATCTCCCGAGAGCTCTTGGACTGCGAGAGGAAGCAGGCAGGGCTGAGGGACAGTTCCCGACCCTATGCACAAATTTTGTGCACCAGGCTTCTAGTAACATAATAAAAATGCAGGTTCCCTTATATATATTAATCTCTGTTGAGAATATACCTTATCGGTGATTTTGAACATGAACTTTTATAACTGACTGTCATAGTGTCAAATGTTGATTTGATCAAAAATGTTGCTTCTGACTGGTTCAAGCAAAAACACTTCCCAAAGTGCAGCAGCAATAGAACAATCTGTCATGTTTGCAATGAGGAAAAATTGGCAAGGATTACAAAAGTTACTTAAGAAAGAACTTCACAAGGAAATGAAGCACAAAACGAAATGCCACATAAGTAGGATGTAGGGCAAATTCCTGAGGAGATCATAGAGAAATAGCAGAAGCTCGTAGGAGTTGGGTCAAGAAACCTCAGTAAGAAACAGGATGCCACATTTGTGGCCTCACCATCTATTTCCCCAAGTTTACTGTTAATTCCAACATCGACCAAACTCATTATTTTGTCAGTTTCTTCCCATTCTGAAGTGAATGGTGGTGATCTTTTGGAATTCCCTTTAGAATTATATTCATCGGTTGAAGAATCACTCTAGTTAACTCTTGATGTTTTCTCATTTGAAGGATAGGCAATGATATCTTATTTCGACACATTTTTGATAAATACATGTCAATCAGGGATTTTGGCAATGACATCCTCCCCAGGGTTCAGGCTCTCTCTACAAATCCTCCATGTTCATAACCCAATAGATCCATTCCCAGATCCACTCCTGCTTGTTCTTGTCCCAACAATGGTATGGTTGTTGATATGTTTGTTCTTTTTTTTGTGTGTGTGAAAAATTGTTCTACTGACCAATGTGGATTTGATTTTCTTTACTAAAGGTTCTGAGCTACTTTTTTTAAAAAAAATATATTTTATTGATTTTGTACAGAGAGGAAGGGAGAGAGATAGAGAGTTAGAAACATCGATGAGAGAGAGTCATCGATCAGTTGCCTCTTGCACACCCCTACTGGGGATATGCCCTCAACCAAGGTACATGCCCTTGACCGGAATCAAACTCGGGTCCCTTCAGTCCCCAAGCCGACGCTCTATCCATTGAGCTAAACCGGTTTCGGCCTGAGCTACTTTCTATTGGAGACTATTTGAGAACCAATGGGGACTAATTGGCCAAAATGACTTCATCTTGTCCTTCATGTTCATCTCTTTCCTCTTAGAAATAAAGTGGATTTTCAGGGGACTTACAGGCTGCAGAGCATCCGAGGAGCAGGTCTGCAAATAGCACAGGATCACATTGTTTTGGGAGATCACTGTCCTCTTGTTGAGAGAGGTTATCTGTACGGTTAGTTCCTTGCCTGTTGATAGAAGAGGTGTGTGGGTTAGCAGGAGGCTGGAAGGAAAGCTTGCACACTCTGGAGATGTGTTGATTTAGAAGTATTGTTGGTTGTGATTCATTCCATGAAAATCCAGAGGGGACATAATAGATGTTTGTTGCTGAGGTTGGGTTGAATAACTTTTACAATATTTTTGAGGGCAGTGTCGGAGGGGATAGTGGAGACCAGTCAGGTGTTGGGCCTGTGGAGCTGTTTCTATGGTTACTCATTCCTGCAGCAGTAATTGCTCTGTCAGAAGCGTTATCAGTTCCCAGGGAAGGAGCTCTTGCAATTTCTAAGGAGCAAGGTTTCTTTGTAGCCACTCTGTCCATGAGATCCCATAGAAAGTTCTTGTTTCCTGAAGGAAGCGTAACCAGAGAAGCAGATGCTACAGTTAGTGTCATTCTTCTTCATAGGCTAGAATTCAGTTCTATGTGTTGAAAGTTCAAAGGAACCACGAGAAGTCCTAGGGAAGAATCCATTCCTGTTTTTCAGCCAATTCCATCCCCATTCCTTGGTTCAGGTTGCATCATTTCAACCTCTGCTTACATCATCATGTATCCTTCCCTCTGAAGTCATCTTTGCACTTTATGATATAGCTAAGAATGGTGGTATTTATGTCTCTTTTATCCATCTTTATAATAAAGGATTTTATATAATACACTAGAAGTCTGATGCACGAAATTTGTGCAAGAGTAGACCTTCCTTCTTCTGGCTGCTGGCACCAGCTTCCCTTTGGCACTTGGGACCCGGGTTTCCCCGAGGCGGCCAGCAGACACATGGGAGTCAGGCTGCCCTCAAAGCCCTGGCTTCGTCTGGAATGTCATCCTGAAGGAAGTCCAGTCCAATTAGCATATTACGCTTTCATTATTACAGATAGAAACTATTATAGGATCTGTTATTTTAAGGTATTCCTTATAAATCTGGGAATGTGCATTTGGTAACCATCAATCTTATATATACTCTTTTTCTAGGACTTTTTTTTTCTATAATAAATTGAAGGGACCTCTTACACCAAAGGAAAACAGAAAATTTGACAGCTTGAGTAATTTCACATTCATATTTAGTAAAGCATACATGTAGGAAATATATAGAGAAGCATCTTTCCCTTATAAGGCTTAGAGGCTCAGTTCCAAAGATTAGCTATAATCTTTACAGAGCAATAAAGTAAACGTGAAATAAATAATTAGCATGGAATTTTTTCAAGAAAAATAACAAGCAGACAATAAATTCTAAATATCATGTATTTCTTAAATTTGTGCAGTTTGCTTCTTTTTTTGAAAAAACAAAAACAAAAAAAAACCCCAATGGTAAATAAATGTAAATTTTATATAAATATTAAAAGTAAACCTTTTGGCATAATGATTTTCTAAACTGTCACTTTATATAAATTTTGAATTTGTTACAATCTGTTTAGGTTGTAGCAGGGCAAGAGCATTTGTGTTGCTTTTGATACAAAGGCAGCCTTTAACTTAAAGTGCTTCTGCCTCAGCAATTTGCACTGTGGTGTTTTAATTTTGGGACAAATGTTTATGAAATATTCTGAATGCCTTTGTATTTAATGGCTCTTCTCCCCAAAGGTATACTGTGTATACTGTGAAAATTAAGTTATTGACTCACATCAATAAATTTATACTTCAGTTGATATTGTTTTAAATGTAGCAAATGATATGAGAATATATCCTGTAAAGATGCAATCAACAAGGTCCTTACTCTCTTATGCAGTGTAAATAGAACAAATGTGTATGGTATTAACCCTACACTGTTGTTGAATATCTCTCAGTAATTGTGCACAGTTCTTTGCTATGCCTTTTAGAATTCTTACTCTGGTTATTCTAAGTCACTCTAAACTAATTTGTTGTTTCTCCTCTGGTAGTATTTTTTGAATGTATGCTGCCCATTCTAAAATAAACATTTGTTGTGTATACTTTCCATGAAGACCAGATGGAGTTTTTAAGGCTTAATAATCAATGGCTTCATATAATTGCCCTTTCTGAGAATTTGAGAAATTTTTTTTCCTATATGTTACTGTATCTGCAAGATGGCTTACAAGCATTATCATACTTATTCCTTATTGCAAATCTTTAGGTTTGGAATTGTTATTCTCATTTCATAAATGAAAACAAGACATAAAAAGGCTTCCACAAATATGAAGTAAGAAGACACAAGCCTATCCTATATAATAAAAGGCTAATATGCAAATTGACCAAATGATGGGACAACTTGGTCTCTATGATGCGCACTAACCACCAGGTGGCAGATGCTCAATGCAGTAGCTGCCCCTGGTGATCAGTACACTCCCACAGGAGTGCCACTCAGCGAGAAGCCCTGAGCTGGGCTAACGGTTGGCAAGTGCAGTGGTGGTGGCAGGAGTCTCTTCCACCTCTGTGCCAATGCTAAGGATGTCCAACTGATGGCTTAGGGCCTAAGCCGTCAGTTGGACATACCCCAAGGGCTCCTGGACTGCGAGAGAAAGCAAGCTGGGTTGAGGGACTCCCCACCCCCAGTGCACGGATTTTGTGCACTGGGCCTCTAGTCTGTGTATAAAGACCAACTCTTAGCCTCTACAATATATAGTATTTCAGGTGATTCCTGTTTCAGCGGCATGGGCTCCTTCAAAGTGCTGGACAGGGTAAGCCAGAACTGCACTATTTGACAATCCAGTGCTCTACAGAGTGTTATGATAGAAATTTGAGAAGAGAATACAACCTGATGAAATTGAATAGTTGCTAAGGGCCCACCACAGTAATAGCCTATCTAGGATTAGCTGTTTGAATTTTAGCTACCTGGCTTGCTTACAACTTTCATTTGTTTGGACTTTTAATATTGAATTTGAAAGCCGAGTGCTCATATATATGAAAACATTAAGTAACTGATATATTTCATGTTATACCTGTCTGCCAAACAAACTACTGTAATAAATTTTTCTTTTCTCTTTTTTCCTTTTTCTTTCTTTCTTTTTCTTCTTCTTCTTTTTTTTTTTTTTTTTTAATGCAGTGGGATGCATTTTGCTTTTATGCTGGAGTTCACCCCTGTGGCTTGGATTTATCACAGTAGCATCTGTCTTCGGTCAGTTTGTTAACTAGAAATCAAGGCAAGACATGAGGAGGTTTGTTTACTGCAAGGTGGTCCTTGCCACTTCGCTGATGTGGGTTCTGGTGGATGTCTTCTTACTCCTGTACTTCAGCGAATGTAACAAATGTGATGACAAGAAGGAGAGATCCCTTCTACCTGCTCTCAGGGGTAAGTGCTTAATGAAATAAATGTTACTTTTATAGAAATAGGGAATGGCGGTGACTCATGACAAAACGTGAAACTTCAAAGTAGGGTTGTTTTTTTTGAAAACAGCTTACTGAGTTAGAAGAACACTTTGGCAGAACTATTAATTTACATTTAACTGTGGTAAAGCTACTTTACATTTCTTGGCCGCAGTTTCCTGTTGAAAGAAATGAGAAGAATGAAGTAACCTCTGAGGCAACTTTCCAGTTCTAATAATTTCTATGTTCTGGGACTGTATGAAAAGAATAATTCAGCAAACATTCAAATTGGACAGAATTTTAAATGTAGGCTTCCAGAAGCAAAAGCCCTTAGAGACCAAGCATTTAACGTAAAGAAGGAAACCTATTAAAGTGATACAATGGGAACTGCAGGAAAATTGAACTGTACGTGACACCCCTAAAGACATCCAAACATAATAAAACAAACGAACAAAAAACAAACAAACAAACACTTTTTAAAAGAAAATACATTTTTGTGGCCAAATCCAACCTGTGGGCCATCAGATTATTGTCCTACTAGAGGCAAATTGCACAGGTGGCCTGCGTGTAGGAGGAGGGCATCCCTCAGCCTGGCCCGCACCCTCTCGCAATCCAGAACCCCTAGGGGGATGTCTGACTGCCAGTTTAGATCTGATCCCTGAACAGGCAGTTGGACATCCCCCAAGGGATGTAGCAGTGTGTCAAGCAGCAGGCGGCCAAGGAAGAGCCTGAGCCTGAGCCAGGACCAGGCTCCACATTATTTGAGCTCATCCCAGCCTGCTGCTGCCTCTCAGTAGCGGAGTCAGGAGAGGCTCCTGCCGCCACAGCTGCACTCACCAGTGGGAGTGCACTGACCACCAGGGGCAGCTCCTGCATGGAGTGTCTGCCTCCTAGTGGTCAGTGCACATCATAGCGACTGGTCGGCCAGTTGTTCCAGTCGTTTGGTTGTAATGGTCACCTAGGCTTTTATATATATATAGATATTAAGGGCAAATGAAAAACTTAAGTATATGATAGTCATTTTAACTCAATATTTACCTCGTTTGGGACCAGTTTCAATGACTAGAGAAGAGTGAATTCCAAAGAAGCATAGTGATGTGTGTAAATGGGGATTTATTGGACACTCCCGAGGGCTCTCGCAGTCCAGGAGCCCTCGGGGAGGTCCGAATAATTTTCTCTGCTTTTTGTCAACTATAAGGATATTCCTAGTAAACGAATGCTTCTAAAGTGTTTAAGGGTTCTTGAAATTAGTTTTATTCTCATTGAATCAAAACTTTTTTTCTTTGAAGCCTACATTAATTCTGCTTAGCAAAACTTTCTTCATAAATATGACAAAAGGTGAACTTTGAGTCCTATTTGAAATGTTTGTGCCTTTAGGAAGAGTGAATATAAATGCCTTACTTGATATTTGTATTTATTTAATGAATGTCATCAGCTTTCATTGTTACAGATATTTTTGAAGTTATTTATTAATTAATTTTCTAATAAACAGAATTTCATAGGTATTATATAGTTGTGTGAGGGTTAGGAAAACACAGAAGAGCATTTCCAAAAAATTAACTTTTGTCAAAAGTATTTAGTACATCCTAAGTTTGCTTTTAGATTGCAATAATGCCCTTACTCAATCGAAGAAATTCTAATTATCTTCCTCTATCCAAAATTAGTTTAACTTTCTCACTATAATTTTTGACTATTCAAAGATTTGAGAAAAAGTACTTCAGAACTTACTGAGCTACTTAAGTATTTTATATGCATCTTTTATACATTTATACTATAACTATTCAAAGTGGAGAACATAATGAGTCTATCAGATTTTGATAAATGAACATGGGTTTGATTTGCTGGTCTTTAGTTAAAATCCTAGAACAAACCAGCCCTCTCTGCTTCTTTGTTTGAATCACTTCAGTTGCTGCTGAAAGTGGAAATGTGTTTTGATGAATTATATTAGTTTGGAATGATCACTTTGTCATTTGCTGAAGGAGACATGTAGATTGGTCACAGAAAATGTTATAATCTGATTCAGCAAAATTATAATAGCCTTTTCTACAAGTACCAAAAAAGTACAGTTTCGCTGATTTAAGTTCTTAATGCTCAGTCTTAAATCTAAAAATGTGAACTGTAATGATACAATTCAAAAATAGTAATTTGGCTTTGTACTTAAATTGTAAAATTAAGCTATATTCTCTTCATTTTTAAGAGTTGTTTAGTTGTATGTTATGCTTGTCTTGAATGTTTGGGAGTTTAGTTACATTTTCTATTTTTAGTTATTTTTTTCAGAATGTCACTTCATTTAGAATTTGTGCCACATATTTAGAATATATTTTATTTACAGGCAGATGATGTTGTGCAAAGTTTACTTTCCTGAAATTTTCATATTCAAAATAAGCTAAAACAGGCCTTTTTTTACTTGAAAAAAAATCTTTGGGGATCTGTTTCTCATTATCTATAATAATCTATAATAATAAAACATGCTAATTAGACCAGATGTCCTTTTAGACATCCTTCTGGACGAAGCCAGGTCTGTGAGGGAAGCACAGGTTCCAGGCACCAGAGGGAAGCTGGTGCTGGCAGCCAGGGGAAGGAAGGCCTAGTCTTGCAGGAATTTCATGCATCGGGCCTCTAGTTATTAAAATAAAGGGTTGGGATGAGGTGGTTTCTAAGATCCCTTCTAGTTCTAAACATTAAATTTTAAACAATTTTTAAGTTTCCAATATTAGCATACACTATGAATTAATTTTTGAGGAATGTTCATTTATTAATCACATCCTCGATTATTTAAGTGCCTATAAAGTTAAATGTTGCATACCTTAAACTTACACAATGTTATATATCAATTATATTTCAATTAAAAAAGAAAGGAACAAGAAAAAAAAATCCTGAGCAAAAACCTAAGGACCTCTGAGCTCACAGGTGATGTAGCAAGATTACCAAGGGGTTAAAAGCATAGGCTTTGTTGCCCGGAATGGTTTGGCGTGGATAGAACATTGGCTTGCTGACTGAAGGGTCCAAGGTTTGATTCTGGTCAAGGGCACATGCCCAGGTTGTGGGCTCAATCCCCAGTAGGGTGCATGCAGGAGGCAGCCGATTGATGATTCTCTCTCATTTTTGATGTTTCTGTCTCTCTTTATCTCTTCTTCTCTGAAATCAATAAAAATATTAAAAAAAAATTTTTTTTTTAAAGCCTAGGCTTTGTTGAACAATCTGGTTCTTACTTCCTCCCCATTGAACTGGTTATGTGACATTTTGCAAATCTTACCTAGTAAAAGAGAAACAAATTAACTATCACTCTGCTACACCCACAGCCAATCAGAGTGAACATGCAAATTAACTCATCAAAGATAGAGGTTAATTTGCATATGCAGGTGCAGAGCAGTGTGAAGTCTGCTATGAGGGGACGGGGGGAGTTGGAGGGAGCTACTGGAGTGGTGCTCCAGACAGAAGTGAGAATGTGCTGGCTCTGGGCTCCCAAGCTGCCCAGGACCAGGGACTTGCCGGCTCCTAGGCTGCAAGGGAGTGGGACTTGCCAGCTTTGGGCAGCCCCCGAACGGGAATGTGCAGGCTCCTAGGCGGCCAGGGATCTGGGGACTTGCCAGCTCCCGGGCAGCTGGGGTGGGGAGTGGGGACTTGCTGGCTCCTGGGTAAGGGGCCTCTAGTTCCTTAACAAAATGATATTCTCACTTAAAATTGGAAACTGAGAGACAGTAAATTAAATCCTGTTTTACATGGTCTCTTTGAGAATTAAATGAGATGATATACATAAGCCCTTCAGGGGAGTATTGACTCTCAGTAATTTTTGTATCAATGTCTGCTAAAGTGGAGAAGGAGACTGAAAGGTCTGAATGAGGCTCCACCTGGCATTGCTGTCCAGGGTAAATGGGGTCCAGAGTAGGGGATGAGGAGGAGCAGTTTTTCTGGATGAGACCCCAAAGGCGGAAGTATCTCTTTTAAAAATAATTTGTTAAGTGCCTACTACGTGTCTGTGGTAAGACCTGGAGATAGAAGGGACCTGAGGTCCTTACTACTGTCTTGAAGCTGATAGTCAATAACAGAGTGAACATTTTCCTCCCATTCTTTGTTGCGCTCTCTTTGAAAAATGTGATTTAGAAATTTTGACAAGCATAATGTGTCTAATGAGAATTAAGATGACAAAGAGGGATGCTCTGAGTAGAGGAAAATAGGTCTAAGGTAGTAGATAAAATTTCACAGACTGTGGCATTTAAGTTTAGGTTGAAAACATTAAAGTACGAAATAACTAGTTAAAGAAAAAAATGCTAAAATCTTTATGAAATGATAAAAGTTATTGAATACCCAGGATACTTCTTAAGGAGAAAAATATAGAAGTCTTATAAAATTAGAGTGATTAAATAGTAGTATTGGTACAAAGGGACACAAAGACACAAATGGCAGGCAAATTGCCCAGTGGAGCAGAATAGAAGTAGATGTACACATGTTTGGAACATTCAGCATATGGCAAAGGAAGCACTGCACATCAATGGGGAAGAGAATGGCTGTTCAATAAGTGGAGCTGAAAATAAAATGGGAATCCATGTGGAAAACAGATAAAATTGAATGTCTACTTCATGTCACAAACCAATATAAACTTTAGATGTAGTAATGTCAAAACAAAACTAAAACTTTTAGCAGGAACATTTAGGCATCTACTAGATCTTGAATTAAGAAAAAAATCTGGCCCTAGCTGGTTTGGCTCAGTGGATAAAGCGTTAGCCTGCATACTAAAGGACCCCAGGTTTGATTCCTGTCAAGAACACATACCTAGGTTGTGGGCTCTATCCCCAGTAGGGGGCATGCAGGAGGCAGCCCATCAATGATTCTCATCATTGATCTTTCTATAATATCTCTCCTTATCTCTTCCTCTCTGAAATCAATAAAATATATTTAAAAAATTCTGAAACATTACATAAAAAATTGATCAGAAATAGAATAAAGATAAATTTGATTGTATTAAAATTGAGAAAGTTGGTTAAT